AAAAGAAGTTAAAAGAATAAGAGAAACAGAAAAAAAAAAGCACAGGAACATTTTGAAGAACAACAAAAGAAAGCTGTTTGTAACATGAAGATTATAGAACTGCAGCTGAGTTTAAACCAGAAAAATGTAGAAGAAAAAGAAATACATGCGACATGCCAAGTTTTGTTAGAAGCAGCAAACAAAAAACTGGAGAAGGCTATTAACAGCAAGAACGTGAATGAAGTACAACAGTACGCGTGATGCTTATTAGTATTAAGCGTTCAAAAGCAAGAGGAAGCGAAAAAGAAGGAATCTGAAAACATCCAGAATAATCTTAATAAAATAACATCATCTTTCATGACTGATTATTTACAGAAGCCAAAGAGTTTTTAAGTAATCACGGTTTACTGGAAATACAGTAGCCACTTGTTATCAGGAGACAGAAAAAAAACGCAATATAACCGAGTAATAAAAATTCTGGGCTTTTACTAGACAGATTATACATGTTATGGAATCTCTATTCTTTCATCATTAAGTGTTTCTGATATAAAATAAGCTTAGTTTTTCAATCCTGAATTTTATTCGTGGTTATATCGTATTAATTGACGTTTACGTAAACATCGATACCATGAACGCCCATTTAGCATTATTGTTTCTTTAACAATGACATTGAAAGACAAATACTGTCGATATAAAAACAAATCAATTGCGATTTTATTATACAGTACTATATAAATCGCTTATTAGAAATTCGTGTAGTTTATATTTTTCAATAAAAATTATAAATGCTGTAATTGAAAATTTAAAAAAAAATATTGAATGTATAATAGAACATCAAAAGTTATAAAATTACAGAGTAAAAATTCTTTAATTAAAAAGCAAAATAAAGTTACTACTGTATAAAAATTTTAGAACTTTCAGAATTAAGAAATCTTTTCCTTACATGTTATGCTGTGAATTCCAAATTTCACACCTCTGTGTGAATTGAAACAATACTGTTAATTCGCATAAAGATGTGAAATTTCGAATTCACAGAAACTTGTAAATGAGGAGACAGTACTTAAAACTAATAAATAAACAACTTTTTTATTAAAAGGAAACAAATGATAATCGATCCATCCACTTGTTCTGCATATGTAGATCTTGACGAATTTATTGTTTTACCTTCAGTGGTAGTTTCAAGGACAATAGTAGAAATAANAATAGATTTTAATACCTGGAAGCAGTTTTATAATAGATTTCCACAAATCCATACGGAAATACTGTTAAATACAAGTATAGAAGTTTATAATGATATTCTGGATTCTGACTTTACTATTACCGAACTGGATGATGTCATTAAAAAATCAAAAAGTAAAACAACTCCAGGATACAACAATATTCCTACCGATTTTTTAAAAATATTATCAAACAATTCTAGACTAAAAATATTAAACTTATTTAACAGTACGTACAAATCTGTGTTCTTCCCCGATTCCTGGAACTCGGCCATTCTTACGATGATATATAAAAAAGGCGATCCTTCCTCTCCTAGCAACTATAGACCAATAGCATTATCATCAGTTATAAGAAAATGTTTTACTTCACTTCTTGCAAACAAATTTAAGCTATGGACTAAAACTATGGGAATGGAAGCCGAATTCCAATATGCCTTCACTGTTAATAAAGGAACCGAATTTGCAATCTTTACTTTATTAATGATAATTCAACTATACCTTTTAAAAAAACACAGGAAAATATACGCTGCCTTCATTGACATTCAAAAAGCATTTGATTCAATATACGTGCCTCTGTTGATTCACAATCTTAAATCCTGCGGTGCAAGTACTCGATTTACTTCAGTAATCTCAACACTATAACATCAAGATAAAACAAGGCAATAAAATCTCTCAAACTTTATCATTATCTCGTGGAATCCTTCAAGGTGATCCCCTTTCTCCATATTTATTCAATTTTTACCTTATAGGAATTGATCGTCTCTTTACTGAATCAACTGATGGAATTATAATAGGAAATAGTCTTTCATTACATTCTTTTTGCTGCTGATCTTGTGCTTCTGGCCCCAACAAAGATTTCATTACAAAGGAAAATTAATCTACTTAATAAATTTCTAAAATCACTATATCTAACAATAAATTCGACCAAAACGAAAGTAATCATATTCCGCAATAACTGTAAAATATCCGAAAATAACACTAAATTATATCATGAAAATCTTCCTTTACAAACTGTAAATGAAATAGACTATTTGGGAGTCAGGTTTGATTGGAATTTATCCTTTAAAGCACATTTTAACAAAATAAAAATCAAAGCAAAGCAAGCCATAGATAATCTACTATGTATGTTCTAAGCTGAAAACTACTAATTTGAAAATTAATATTAAATTATTTAACTCAACGATCGTTCCTATAATATATTATGCAAGCCCAATATGGAGTTTAGACTATATATATAAATTGGAATATCTTCACGTCTTATTATTTACGCAAATTATTCCAACTAGAAAGAACTATTCCAGGCTATGCTCTGAGGCACGAAGTAAATAGGATTTGGTTCTTCCCTTTTGTACTGAAACGCATAATTAAATTTTACTACAGAATTTAAATTTAAAATGATAATACAATAATATACCTACATCATCAAAATATTAATCAAAGTAAAAATCGGAAATTTAAACAATTATGGCAGTACAAGCTAATTCAGATTTTAAATAGTTTTGGAATATCGGAGTTACTATTTAAAGATAATATCAATGATTGGAAATTTGGCTATTCTCTCCTAATAGACTCTGCAATTTCGCGGGCAATAAACAAAGATCAAGATTCATTATATCAAAGCAGTTATCATCCATGGTACATCAATTTATTGCAAATTCCATATTTACAATCTTATATGTTACAGCCAGTAAATCTAAATGTGAAGCGATTAATAATTCAACTCCGTCTAAATAAATATTCTCTATTTATTAATAATATTTATATCGACTTAACAAGATCCTATTGCCCTTTATGTAATACTGAAGAATTTTCATTATTTCATCTAATTCATAATTGTAAAGAACTTTTTAAACTGCGTAACCATTATAAAATATCTCAAATATGTAATTCTAATACATCACTTGATTTTAAACTAAGTTTAAATAATCTCAGCAAAACGAATCTATACAAAATTTACAATTATTTTGTTAAAGTTTCTGAAAAATACTATTCGACAAATCAAAATTAATGTTCGTATTGAAACTTGTTGACTAGTTAAAATAGCTGGATCACTGTGCACGTAAATACAAATTGATGTCTACAGAAATTAAGACTTATTTTTTTGTACCTTCATATTCTAAATTTGCTAAATTGTAATTTTTTTTTTTTATTATTTGTAATATTCCCCCATAACAGAGAAATTGTTCTCTATTGTTAACACTAACTTATATTGTATTATATTGTAATTGTAATAATAAATATGATGATTGATTGAAATATGCTACTTCACAGAAAAAATTAGCCTATTACTAATTATATATGTATATATCTTGAAACTTAATAACAAAATTGAGTTTCATCTTAATTTTTAGTCTTAAATTATTGATGTTTTTTGTTTATTTAATTTTACTGTAAATAGTAATTATTCTTTAGTTCGTTCTATTTTTAATATAAAAATATATGGGGACCCTGAATAAGTTCTCACTGTTTTTCAACAGATGGCATTACCAGAACCATGTGTGTGTATTTTTAGATGGTGACGCATCTTTAAGGAAGTACAATAAGCGACCTTGAAATTCAGTATATGTCATTTCCCCAAAGTGTAAACAACTTATTTTTTCATTGTGTTAAACATGTCAAGTTTCGTGCCAAAAAAAGAGTATTTGCGGGGAATTTTATTCAAAATGCACTGTTTTATTCAAAAAAATCTACAGCTGAAGCACACAAAATTCTTGTTGAGACTTACAGCGACCATGCTCTGTCGGAAACAACATGCAGAGATTGGTTTAGACACTTTAAAAATAATGATTTTGATGTTGAAGATAAAGAACAATCTGGCGCACCAAAAAATTTGAAGACAGGGTATTGGAGGCGTTACTTCATGAAGACTCATGTCAGATGCTAGTTGAACTTGCAGAATCATTAGGAGTTGATCACACAACAGTTTCAAAACATTTAAAAGGATTAGGAATGATTCAAAAGCAAGGACATTGGGTGCCATATGAGTTGAAGCTGAGAGACGTCAAACGGCATCTTTTCACGTGTGAACAGCTACTTCAACAGCAGAAAAGGAAAGGTTTTCTGCATTGTATCATGACGGGTGATGAAAAATGGATATCCTGCGGTAACCCTAAGTGTAGAAAATCGTAGGGTAAGCTGAACATTGTCAGCAAATCCGAATATCCATGGTTTGAAGCTTCTGCTCTGCATTTGGTGGGATCAGCTAGGTGTAGTTTATTATGAACTGCTCAAACCAAATGAAACCATCACAGGAGATTGCTATCGACTACAATTGATGCATTTGAGCCAAGCATTGAAGGAAAAACGGCCGCTATACGAGCAGAGACACGGCAGTGATTTTGCAACATGACAATGCTCAGCCACATGTTGCACAACTGGTGAAAACGTACTTGAAAACGCTTAAATGTGAAGTCCTACCCCACCTTCTGTATTCTCCAGACATTGCCTTTTCCGATTATCACTTGTTCCGATCAATGGCACATGGGCCTGGCTGAGCAGCCCTTCCATTCTTATGAAGATGCCAAAAAATGGGTTGATTCTTGGATAGCCTCAAAAGATGTGTCGTTTTTCTGACGTGGAATTCAAATGCTGCTAGAACAATGGGAGAAAGTAGTGGCTAGCGATAGACAATACTTTCAGTGACATGTTTTTTACGACTTTTTTTAAACAGTGTGTTAATTTTCACAAAAAAAAAAAAAAAACAGAACTTATTCAAGGTCCTTATAGAAAGAAAGATGTTTCTCATAATTCAAATATTTCAAATTAATTTATAATTTTGATAAAAATATTTAATTGAAATAAATTTTTTCCCTTTCAGAGTATGTATTGAAAGCAATTAAAGAACAACAGTATGAAAAGCCTACAGCTATTCAGGCACAGGGCTGGCCTATTTCATTGAGTGGAAGAGATTTAGTAGGAATTGCACAAACAGGTTCAGGAAAAACTTTGGCTGTAAGTTTAAAAATATATATTTATATATTAAAATGTGACAATGTATTGACATATTAGTAAAAATCTTAATCATAGAGTTATTGTTAAATAAAATATTAAAGATTTTTAAATTGTTATGAAGTATCAATTATATATAAAAACTGTTTTGGTTTCTAAGTTTTTGATTGCTTAGTTATTTTGAATATTTTACAACTGATTTTCCAAAAATTTATATATAAGTTTATCTTAACAGGGCTTGATGGTATTTTATTAATTATATGATGTACAAAATTATTTTAAAATATTTATATTAATAACTGAATTTTGTTTTCTTTTCAACATTTTTTAAAAATTACTCATTTGTTTTATTATCTGTTGTAACTTCATGCAGTATTATTGTTTCTAAATATGAAATTTATTGTGATTCTTTTCATAATTGTATATATGATTTTTTCTATCAAAATTTTAATAGCATTAATGAGAAACTCAAGTTTACTTTAAAAATATACTTATAACAAGTGATTTAAAGTTTTATTTTAGATTTAAAAAAAGTTTATGAATTATGATATGCACTTCAAATATTAAAAAATGATTAACAGTATTGTTAAATATTAAAATATAACTTAGATGATAATCGTTTTTATAGTTTGAAATGAAATAAATGAATTTTATTTCAAAATTTATTTGACCAAACTAATCTACAAACAATTATTTTAATTTTTTTTCCAATTTATTATGATGCCTGTTTATATCATATCTTTTACTAATATTCTGTATTCAAATGAATAATTTAAAATTGAAAATGAGGTACAATGTATCTAAAAAGTAACGTTTATTATTCTAGTTTATCATTTTTAACTTTTATTAGTTTTATAATTTTCTATATAAATAAAATGTAGTTTCATTTGTTGCTAATAGCTAATCTCCAAAAGTTCTTCACCGATTGCTTTGAAATTTTGACACAACATTCCATTCGAATACGGTCGTGTTTTTATATAATACAGTAAAATTTGTCTATGGCGACCACCCACGGTTCCTTCAAAAAGTGGTCTTTTAGACAGGTGGTTGTCCAATACAGGTGGCACTGTAATACCATATTTCCGTACATAACTTGCACACTTTTTAGCCATTTCTACTAAGCAAAACTCGAGGTGAGCAAAAATAAGCAAATTTTTTAAATGATAGGGCTATATTGGTATTGTACAGTGGTGCCTCGTATAACGTACTTAATCCGTTCCAGGTGCACATCCGTTAAGTGAAAAGTCCGTTATATGAAACGCATTTTCCCATAGAAATACATGTTAAAACACATAATTCGTTCCGCGGCATAAAATAACAGTACTGTACTATAAAAAAAAAAAATGAAAATGGAGCAGTCACCAATTATGCTGGGTAGTCAGATGTGAGGAGGAGGTGGAGGAACACTTTCTTTACACATTCATACAGATACAGACTTTTTACACATTGCAGAAGGTCTCTTTTTATTGTTTTTAATTGGAGTCAGATTCAGGAGAGGTTACCAGAGCTTGCAGGGTCATCTCTTCTTGTTCCATCCTTTGTTTTTTGGCAGCTGGCTTCTTGAAAAACATGTCCAAAGTGGTCTGTTTCTCTCTCTTCTTCAACACCTGTCGGAAATGATGGGCAAAGGTGTCATTGTAGAGATCATTGATCCTGTTGGCCTCAACACTGTTTGGATAATGAGTGTTGGTAAACTCCTGAACCTCTCCCCATTTGACAAGGAACTTTTTGTCAACTTTCACTCCTTCTGATGATGTCTTGCATTGTTTCAATTGAAATCACTTTTCTGTTTTTTTAGAAGCCATGATTTGCACAATACTTGAATACTTGTTAGTACAATAGTGTAAATTACGTATAAATAGAATCAAATATACATCATCAATACTAAAAAGTGTATTGACCTAGATTACAGGTTCTCAAACTTATTTTGACCACCACCCACTTTGAGATAAAAAAAATCTAGTGCCCCATATTTTTTAACTTATGCAAGAGATGGTAATGTAAAAAGGTATCTTAAAAACAGTTATTGCAAATATAATGTTTAAACATGCATTATTATATGGATGGGATAGTGTGACACACATCCTATTTCTGAGATCAAAGAATGTTTCAATGAGAATAAATAAAACTCATATTTAATCACAGCCTTCTACTGCCCCCATGAAAGCTTGCAGTGCCTGCAAAGGGGTGTTATTGCCCACTTTGAGAAAGGATGACCTAGATTTAGAAAAACTACCTCCCCCTTCCACGCCAATCGGCGTTATAATCTATAGGCCATATTATTCTCTACATCGGGTTAGAAAGCTGCAGTTTTTTTTTATTTGTGAGAATATAGACCTATCTATCTAATGTATATAACACATTAATCAGATGTTTATTTTAAAAATTTTTTTCATTTTTTTGAAATCTCAAATTTTATAATTTTTTAAAATGTACATAATATTTTAAAGTGAACAATCATAAAGAGTGATATGTGCGTGATAAAAGACAAAAAACAGATCAGATCTACAACAAATTTTTAAGCGAGATATTGCAAATTAAAAAATCACTATAAAAACCAGAAACTATCTCCGCAACTACAATGTTGTTTCAGATTATCGAGATGAACAGCCCACAGTTTAAAAAGTAAAAAATAACTGTTAAGCCTATTTCACAATATTCACTTGAAATACTTCAAATCAGAAATTTAAGGACGACTGTGGTCTTAAATTTCTGATTTGAATATGAACACTGGGTTTACAACAAAATTTGGGACTACATGTCAGCTATTGGATCTGGAAATCTCATTTTAACAGATACTTGGCCACTGAAAATTATCTGTTGTTCTGAGAATCCATCATATCGCAAACAACTGATTTCCTGCAGTCTCGTGAAAATATTCATTATTTTAAAAAAATTGTTTTTTAACTCCTATATATAAGAAATACCAGTACTTGAAATTATTCAGTCTCTTGAGATCCCTGTTTTTTATCCTATAGAAACACACATTTGTAATGTACGTGTATATTATGCCATATGTATGTACAACAAAGCTGATGAAAACTGTAAGAATAAAAGGAGGCAAATTACATATGCTCATTAGCACTTTGCTTGATTTCATGATTGTTAAAAAAATTGTCCATCATGGCTTCTTTATATGCCATTTTTCTGTCTATTGACTACAACATTGCTTGATATTAGCAGTGTCATATAGAGTACATCCTGCTCATTTATGCTGAAACTCATCACAACTTGGAAATACTTGATGGCTTTGCTAAATTTTGGCACTACACCAACAACAGTTTATTAAGTGACTCCTCAATTGAATCAGTAGGCTGGCTTTCTTTGTACAGTTCTTAAATTGTACTTGTCCCAAATTTAACAAGTGCATCATGAAACTACAAATTTCCCAGAAACATCCAAATATTAACTAAATGTTGAAAAAATGCAAAGTTTACAATAGATTTGGGGTAGGAAAAAAATCTTGTTATTTCGAGTAACAGATCTGCTAAAAGGAGGTAAAATTACGTTGATTTGGTGGGACCTGGGAAAAAATCCATTGTTCTGCAATCCATTAAAAAGATATTTTACTGTATATGTATTCTTAATTAATGAGGCTGTAATAGCAGAAATGTATGAGGAAATTTTAGAATTGTTTGATTCCAACAATTGAAGATCACTTTGGTGATACTGTGCTGATCATCTATTAACTGCTTTCAGGAGAAATTTTTGAATTTGAAATAACATGAATTCTGGTTTGCATTGAAAGTTTGTATATTGTTAATCGGGACCTCTTGTCCCTAAGGTTTCTATATCTGGTCTTGGATTTCATCTAATTTCGTTTTCGAGATCAGGGAAAGATGGACAGATAGACAACCTTGGGAATTTATACTCTACAATTTTTTTCAAATTGCAACCAATAAAAAAGTTTACACAACAACATAAAAAGAACAGTTTCTGCAATTGGAAACTGCTCTTTTTTTATGTTGTTGTGTAAACTGCTGGTATGTATTTGAATAAGTTATCTTATTAGTTAATTGAAGACAGACTGTCCGAAAAAATTTTTGGTAGACACCGTTTATTCACTTCACGTGTTCCAGAACAAACTTTTTGACAACCTGACCTTCTTTTTTTAGGCTACTTGGCCGTCGAGTTTACAAACATTCCTTTAAAAAACAGAAAAATATCTAATTAAAATTATAAAATTTCAACTTAGAGTTCATGAGTCTTACAGCCATCTTCATGTTCTTCATCCTTTCCACTCGGGGATTTTCGACCTTTATATCTACTGAAGAAATGCTTTGGTAGATGTAGATTTCTATGGCTTCCCCTTGGTGATGAATCTTTGCAAACTTTTAATCTTGGAATTTCGTCGGATTATAAGATTTGTTGCAGCCATAAGATTATAAGTTATCTTATGGTTGCAACAAATTACAGATGACAGAAAAACTTCATTGAATATTTTTGTAATTATCAAATCTGCAGTCTCTTTAATGATTATTTTTAATGTTAAATTATTTTGCATAAGTATTGAATAGTTATTCATAATTTTGAATACATCTATTATTAAAGAAATAACTAATAAATATCAAAATTTGTAAACAATAATGAGATAAGAAAGAAGTTCAGTAAAATTAAAAATTGTTAATTTTTTTAATTATAGTATATGCTCCCAGCAATTGTGCATATTAATCATCAACCTCGTTTAGAAAAAAATGATGGACCCATAGTAAGTTATTTCAGTTGTCTGCTAAAATATAAAATATTCTTTATATGTAATTCTTAGATAATTATTTAAAATATCTTAGTGCTACTATAAATGTTTTTTACTTACCATAATTTATATGTAGAATTATATTGTTCATTTAAAGTTATAAACATAAAATTCTTTAAAATTTTCTTTAGGTATTAGTTTTGGCACCAACTAGAGAACTAGCACAACAAATACAACATGTAGCTGCAGATTTTGGTCGTACTTCATGCATTCGAAATACTTGCATTTTTGGAGGTGCACCCAAAGGACCTCAACTTCGTGATCTGGAAAGAGGTAAATTTTGCATAAATCTTGACTTTACCAAGAGCATATTGTTTCAGGATCATAAATTTGTCTATATATATATATAAAGATCAAAATATGTGTATATGTTTGGTAAGTGTATCTCTACCATTCAGTGTATCCATGCCACATTTGTTGACATGAATATTCTTTGACATCCTAGAAAAATACTATGGGGCTTCTACCCCAATCATCTCTGAAGCCCATCTCTTCTTAATCTAAGCTTGGGAAATTTTTTGTTTTTTTTGCAGTTTTGTTGTAGATATTCAGGTGAATAAACATATATTTTAGTTACTAAGACTATTGTTTTTATCACTTCCTCCAAACCCATCCTCACAAATCCCTCACCCCTTCGAATGTCTGAGCAATGCTGGACATACTCAGCTAATATATATACTAGAAAGAAAAATGGATAAACTGTATTTCTTTAATTAAAACTGTATAAAATTTTGGCATTGATTTTTTTTTAGATTTAAAAGCATTTAATATTTAAGTGCTACTTCAAGTTTTTTATTTTGGAATATAAATTTGTTATAGATGGAAATATTTGCAAAAATGTTTTGTAATACCTAATAAAAAAAATTCACGATAATTTGTAAATCTGAGTTTATAACTTCGATAGATTCAGTTTTTGTCTTAACTTTGTGTCTATTGCTGAGTGATGATCAAAAAAGNCAGGATCATAAATTTGTCTATAAATATATATAAAGATCAAAATAAAAATTTGTTCTACTGCATATTTGTTTATTTGACAAAGGTATTTTATTTTTTATGACACTGCTTGATTAAAAGTGTTAACTTTGTTTTTACAAAAATCTATGAAATATATGTAACAATGTTTAAAATTGGTTATGTGAAAAATGTAAAAATAATAATTATTCCAAGAATATACTAATGGAGTAATTGATTTGGTCTGTGAATGGCTCATATATTAATGCTTGTAAGAATTGCTAAAGCCTATAGAATAATTTGCTCAAAAAAGCAACTTATTACTATTTTGTATTAGTAAATATGAAGGGTTTAGCAATATAAAATGTGTTTTAATATGATTGAGTTTTTACAAAAATTTATGTAGAAATAATATAATTTAATTAGATCATAATTTTGAAAGAACTGTTGTTTGTTCAATAGGTTTTGTTGTTGCCAATTTTAATTTTTCTTTTCTTAAGGGGTGTGTGTGTGTGTGTATGTATATATATATATTTTTCTTTATAAGAATAAAGTAGAATTAATTTCTTATTCTATCCTTTCTGAAATGTTTATATGATTTTAGCTGTGATTCCCAAACGTTTTGATCCATCACCACTTTGGTTCCATAATTTATACCTAATGCATCTAATCCATTTTCCCTTGTATGAGAAAGGGTTGGAAATATTCTTAGAAAAACTTTTCTATGACCTCACAATGTCTTCATATCTGGGAACTGTTAAATGCAGTGTTTCTTCTTGCCCATTTTAACAGAGGCAAGAGAAAGATTGTCATCCTCGCTTATGGTTACTGTTCAATACCCTGCCTCCAGTGCCCCCTGCTATCCACTTGCTTCTTTTCGCCCCCTTAGATTTACTCACCAACCACAGGGACTGTAGCACCCACTTTGGGAACCTTGGTTTAAGCTTTAATATACGGTACTCAAGTTTCATTCTATATAAAATTAATCTAATAAAACTATAAAAATAATGAATAAAGGGAGGTTTTAATTAATGAATTAAAACTGTATTTTCAAAATATTTAGTGAATAATCAGTATTGTTAAAATTAATTTAGTAAATTCTTTTGAATTTCATTATAAGTGTCCATTGTTATTATTTATAACAAAAATGTTAATTGCTTATTCATATGAAAAGTAGTGATGCAAATTCATTTGTAGTAGTATATAGGTACTATTATGAGTCTCATCATTTTTTTCAAAATTGCCAAAACACCTCATTCTTTCACCATTCATATTTATTTTTTAAACAGTAATTGAGATAAAATTTTCAAAAAACTTTTATATTAAATTAGTTAAAATTATTTTGAAAATGACTACAAAGTATTAAAATTTCAACATGTTTTAGAAACTGCTAATTTTCAGACAAAAATTTATCAAAATGAGAAGACCAAAAAAAATTTAAAGAATATCTTGTCAACAAATTCAATGATATGTGCCTGTTTACTTTTCCCACATCTTTTGTTCTTTTATAAACAAATTTGAAATTGTTCAACCTTTTCTCTTTATAACCTTATTCAATCTATCTGGAAGAAAAATGAAGATCATCATTATTAGAAGCAACTAAAATAACTTCAACTTTCTTACCACATTTTTGATTTTTTTTCACTTCAAATATTGGATATTTGTATTATTAGTAATCTGAAAGTAATTCATTTAATTTTTTAATTAGAGTAGATTGAAGTTGGCTAACACTGTTTAATGGTTTTTAATAAGTTAATTTATATAATGGATAATTTATTCAGCATTATTTTTATAAAAGGAATCTTTTCTAATTGTAACATTGTTTTTTATCATTTATAATCCTTTATCTTTATTATTTCTTTCTTCCCTAATAAATCAATCTAATTATTTTAGATATAAGTTAATATTTAAAGTATCAATATTCACTATCATAATATTCACTCAGGTATATTAAATTTTCACTGAACAGCTGAGATCTCTAAGTATTTTCCATTTATTTAGTAAAAATGATAATGATGAAACATTAATATTTTTATAATTCTTTTCAATAAATTCATCAGAAAATTTATGATCAAGTACTGTACATCACCACACCAGTTAAATTTATCTTTGTTATAATATTCAATTGTATCTTCTGATGATGATTGATATTATTAATAATTGAATTAATTTCTACAGTGGTGGTAAAAAACTGCATTATCCTCAGTTTTTTGCAACTGTTGGTTTTGTGAAAAGTTGTAGTAACACAATTAACAGAAAATGTATCTGAAATTATGTAAAAGTAATTTAATTAACTGCTAACTGCAGAAATGTAATGTAATTTTATTTATTTTATGTAAATACAGGGCTTAAACTGTAACAAGTGCAATAAAGGTTCATCCAAGTGGCCAGTTGGATGACAAAAAAGTAACACAGATTGTTTTTCTGTTGAAAAACTTACAAAAGTAAAACAGAAATGTTGTTAAAACTTTAGAATTACAATTTAATATTTGGTTGTTTATCTTAGTGTTAATGATGGCTTCACATCTCCGGGGCATTGATTGGATGAGTCCTTGAATGTATTCTTTACTCAGTTTGTGGGGTCCATACACAAATTAGTGACTCTTGGGTTGTAGAAGTGATGTTGACTTCTTTTTCATTACTTTTAGGCCTTTAACAATTTTCGATAGGATTAAGGTCCAGACTGTTTCCGGGCCAAGTCAAATGGTTAATTCCGTGGTCACTTTTCCATCTATGAACCTGTGTGCAATTTGAAAAAATACAATACAACTAAGCTTTTAGTTAAACTAAAAACCAAATTATTAGGAAAGATATTGAATGTATACCTAATCGATTTGGACTATGACATGGAGCAGAATCATCCCAGAATATGCAGTTGGAAACTGACCCAAACTGTTCTCAGATGATGGGGAGTAATTTATCCAAAACTTTAGCATTGACTGTTCCTTGCACAAATTGTAAGTAAACAACTCCTTGATTGGAAACCATCTTTTACAGCCCTAAACCATCTGGGAAACAGGGTGCTTGATGGTACAGACAGTAGTCTGTATGGTGTCCTCCCCTTTGATATCTAAATCTGCTGTCCATCTGGACCAGTTGTAGACATTGTAATCATCCTCCCACCACAATGTGCATGCAATCTTATTTTGTTTTTGGACATATCATACAGGAATGTGTTTAATATTATTTAGGATCTGTGGTGGTGGTTATATGAACATAGACTAAATGAGGTTTCCTGGACAACTTCTAATTTCTAACTATATATTATTTTCTTATCTCTTTTCACTGCTCGAAGTCTACTTAAATACAGTACACAAAAGTAGAAAATAAAATAGGCACTGGAAGATTTTTTTGTTTGCAAATTTAAACTTAATTTATATATATTTTTTTCTTCATTTAATGTGATTTTAATTAATGAAATAATTTGTTAGAAATTCTTAACTGAATCAAATATGAAGCAATTAAATATATTTTTAATGTATTTATAGGTATTGAGATTTGCATTGCTACACCTGGTCGACTGATTGATTTTCTGGAACTAGGCAAAATTAACTTCAGACGTTGTACTTATCTTGTTCTGGATGAAGCTGATAGAATGCTTGACATGGGTTTTGAACCACAAATAAAGAAGATTGTTGAACAGATAAGAGTATGAATTTTTCACCAGAAAATTGTGTCAAGTTTTGTTGCTTTTTTTTTTCAATAAATTTGACTAATTTCTGAAAATTAAATTTTGCAGCCTGATCGCCAAACATTAATGTGGAGTGCTACTTGGCCAAAAGAAGTTAGAGCTTTGGCTGAAGAATTTCTTCAGGACTATGTTCAATTAAATGTTGGGTCACTTCAACTTTCTGCCAATCATAATATTTTGCAAATTGTTGATGTTTGCCAAGAAACAGAGAAAAGTGACAAGTATGTTTAATTTTTCAGGAAAATTTGCTAAATAGTAAATAAATTTTAGTCATAGCCTAGAAATTTTTATGTAATTTATCTTTTTATCTTTTGTTAACTAATTGTCAGTCAAAAAATTTTTTACCTAACTTATAAATTCATGAAAACTGGGCTACAGGGGTTATTTTAAGCATTAAAAAATTTCATACATAGCCAGTCAGAATCATTTTCATCCATGACACACAATTTATATAAAATCTGCTAATCATACAAGTCTGACATTGCACTAAAAACAAGAAGTGTTCCCATCCATTATTTTTCTTGTGCTTTCAAGATTTAATTGAAGATTTAAAATACTTGCTGTACATTTTGAATTAAAAGTTTGTCATAATCTGCATATATTTTGAGGATAGTTGTATGTATATATATCCCCATATAACACAGTAGTTAGGTTCTGAAAAAGTGCTGTTATTCAAATTGTGCTATATGAAATAAAGTACTAGTGCAAAACATAGGATTGGGTCCCAAAAGTTAGCAAAAATATACTATTCTATTTTGCAATTAAGAGAGATGTTTATTGAAGCAATTAATAATTAACTAACAATTGCAATCAAAAGCATTGCATGTTGATATTAATTTTTTCTTTGCTGCTAAACACCAGTAAACAGGTCATTTTCTTTTTTCCTCTCTCTCTCTCCTTTTTTTTCCAAAATATTTTATCTGATTTTTCCAGTTGACTTTAATTTCAATTATCAGCAATGGCTTGATTTTTTTTTTTTTTTTTCGTAAAATTGATATTTTCATTTGCTTGCATTTGCCTATCTTAAAAAATTTAATTATTTTATGTAGTAACTTTTAATTTAATCTATAAAAAAAAACATCATCATCATCATCATTTGGGTTCATTTAGAGCACTATCACTGATATTAGCAGTATCTGGTTTATAGGAAAGCTAGAATAGGAAACTAAAAAACAAGGAATAAGAAAAATTTTACAATCAGTTTTCATTAAAGAAAACTGGGTGAAAGGTATGAAACATTTGCTCATGGACTTTAGAACAGACAATACACACACTTGCTTCAATAAAAGAAAATATCAGTTGATGGTGCTTATTTAAAAATTGTGAATTTCTTACGAGGCTATCTCCAATTCTGGAACCATGTTGTACAGGGGATTTCCCCAATTCTCAAACAATGTTGGAGCAGAACTGTGTTGTGTGATAGATACCTGTATTTATTAAATATTTTAAAAATTATTTTTGTGTTTGTAGTTGTTTTTAATCATTTCTATTCCAGGTGATTAAAATAGTGGCATATCATATTCGATTATAGTGTGATTCTGTTTTCTAAAATTTTAGTATCTTACTTTTTTAGAAATTACTTATTAATTAAGATTTTTGTTTCATAATTTCTTAAGTATCCATCTCACCAGTCAATGCAATTAATTTTAAATGATTTTTTGTTTTATAAACATAAGATTTGTCATAAATTATGTAATGCAGATAAGGATGAATATGTAAAACTGGCCCCACTCATCAATTGAATAAAACTGGGCTTAATAAAAAAGCTTTAAATGTCAATGTTGATTATGCAAGCTTCCATAATGTTTTCATGTTTTTGTCTTGTCCCTTTTTCCCAACATATATATTACAATAGTTTACTCAATGAATGGGGCTGGTTTTACATGGAACATCCTGCAATTAATTGAATAACTTCAATTAATTGCAACTAATGTGATGTACTACTATATATATATTTTAAAAATAAATAAATGTTTCTTTGCAGGCTATTTAAGTTGTTGGGAGAAATAATGTCAGAGAAAGAGAACAAAGTGAGTTATAAAACATTTTCTTTTTCTAATTATTTAATATTCAGTTTAACAATTAACATCAAGATAATGATTGGGATCAGATAATCGTCATAATCATAAAAATTTTATTTGATTACATTAGTTTTTATCAGTTAATATATTATTTTATTCAAATTTTTGTACTACATTGTGAAAGTTTAAAGAAAAACAGATCATATTTTTTCAAATATTAGAAAAAATGCTAAGTACAATTTTTGTATTTAATTAAACAAAAAGTTAATAAAATTTTAAATGCTAATGAATAAACCTAATATGAAGCATGCAGTGCCATAACGTTATACATACCATTTTTTTTTTTCTAAATATGTTTTATTGTAGAATTGAATTCTAAATGCAATGTTTTCTGCCACAAAAGAATAATTGTGGCAATATTGGCAGTGTAAGTGGCTGTATTTTGAAGATGCATTTATGTGAAAATATAACTTTTAAAGTGCCAGAGTACAAGTCACATGACTTCTGGCATGTAAAATGTTGTGGCTTATATTTACATTATTTTAATATTCCAGAGAATTTGTAACCCAGTGAGTTTTTTACCATTTTATTGAATAATAGAAATTAATTAATTTGACTAGAGGTAGGCAGTTGTGCTTTCGTCTCATATTAAATTTAATAATTATAAATAGTTAATTTTTAATTCAAACATTTCTAAAATTTAATTTGGAATTGGTCATTAAATTTAATACAAGATGGCAGCATAACTGCCTAACTCTGATCAAATTAGTTAATTTCTAATATTTACTTATAGCCTTTACATAGCCCAAGAATTTGGCACATCGTTTGGCATGTTTATTGTATAACTGGCTACTGTTGTTGATGTTTAAAAGTAATGTGTATGAACACACATTTGGAAATGTGTGTGACCACAAGTGTGACCTTTCGGGTCGGCACCTCTTTGGTACCCTGTCAGGATTGACACCACCGTGTTTCTCGAAACACGGAAACCGAGACGGCGATTACGTCACGCCGTCGCGCGAGCGGTTCCGTATGTGGTCAGACGGATTCTTAATGTTGATTCGAGAGACAACATTGGAAGTGACTCAGATACACTTAACAATTAACAAGGGTTTATTTACAAATCTATTGGATGAAGAATTTTCGCGGAGAGAGAGAGTGCACATACACTTCGCGGGATGATAAATACCTTTGTTAATAGATTCGGGTCTTGTTCGGATCTTGTTCGGATTATAACAGCTTCCGATGGGTTTAAGGTTTCTGATTCGTTATCCAGGCGATTCACTAACACACACACACACACACAGACAAGTTTATCCTATGGCGATTAATTCGGATTCCTTAATGGATGATAATTGAAGGGACGGCTTTCCTCTCCGAGGACTAAGGCAGCGACTAACTCTTTTCGGCCGTCTCTGATGATACTCACGGACGATTTCGGCCGTGCAGAGGTTAATAGTTCACGAGAAAGCGTCATGTTGCTTTCGAGAAAATGTAACGGGAGACTTTCTCAGGTAGCTAAGAACAACAATTGTTGCGTAATTCGCGAAACGTTATTATTAAAGACTATTTCAAATATAAGAATTTCTGCTATCTCACACAAGCAACCCTAAGAAGTTAGCGAAGCAAGTGCTAAACAGACTGTTGGAGCATGCGCACAATTCAGGACTTTTCCTCTCGTCACTTGTTATGCAAAACATTGCTCGTGAAGCGAGGCAATTTTTTGCAATTTGTTTTGCTCATTATGCGAAACACTCGTTATGCGAGGTGCTCATTAGGCAAGGTTCCACTGTATATAATTCCTAATATGTATAGTTTTTAAAATTTGTAACGTTAGAAGAATGCTATTTGGTTTTAGAAACAAAGAAACTAGTATAATTAAATTAAAATAAAGCCTGTGTTCCAGCATTTTGTTAATTTATATATGAAGTCTAAATATTTTAATTATATAAGTAAATAAATTTTTAAATTCAATTTTTATTATAGAAATTGAATTGTTTGACTAATCATATATAAAAAAACTATTTAGAGATTATTTTGTAATTTAGCACACAAAAATAATAATCTTAGTATTATTTTTATACTAATCATTTAAATGCTGCTTTTTAAACTTAATGAAATATTGCCAAAAATATTTGTTTCAATACTATAAAATATTGATATCTGATAGTTTGAATCTTTAATTTCTATACATTTTATTTCTAATTTATACTTAAAAAATTGACTCGCTTCTATTAATTTATTTTTTTGATATCAGAATATGCTATTTTATTGATTGGGTTCATTAATCATTCTGTTTATTAAATACTGTATTACATTTTTTTCTTTGTGCTTAGTATCATAATCAGAAAAATTCTTTCGTGCAGTTTTACTTCTCTTGCAAAACTTTTATTCTAAAATTAATATTTGATAAATTAACTATGAATTGAGTGATTATTTTTAATTCAATCTTATTTTTTATTTCTTTATCCCATTTTATTCTATTTCCATTCAGGAATTTTTTAATTTTAATGTAATTAAACATAAAAAATACTTAAAACTGAAAAAAAAATGAAAGAAATGCGTTAATTTTGAAGAGAAAGCTTCAAAGTTTATTTTCCATTGTCTGGCCTTTCTGCGAAATCTGACACCGATGAGTAATTGTGTTCACAGCTGGTGTCTTCTTTCCCATGACATTCTCATAAAAGTTTCAGGAGATGAAGGGTTTAAAGTAGGGTGAATACTAGCTGGCCATATATTTCTAAACATTTTTCAAAAATACATTTTTATTGCGATTTCCGACCCCCCCAAACTTAATTAAACGTATATATAATAAAATCCATTAATTAAAAAAATTAAGAAACTACTGGAGGTCGTTTTTGACATCAGAAAGTAGCTTTAGATAACTTTACCGAAGTAAAATCTGTGCACTAGAACTTTAGAACAATGAATGAAATTTTATTAAAAAATTTCCATTAAAAAATAATTAAGCGTTAATTACGTGTCATTAAAGGTTGATTAAAATCATAATAAAATTTTTTTGCACAGGAAAAAATTTTTTAAAAAAATTTGGAGACTTAAAAAACATCTGAAAATCAAAAAAAAATTTTTTTAGTCGAACAGACCATTTGTTATGTAACTCTGTGTAACCTGCTCGAGTAAAACTCAAATGTGGGGTGTTAAATAATAGAACAAATGCTATATTAGTATCTTTTTATAAGAATTTTGTAAATCATCAAAATCAGCTTATATAAATTAAAGACACTATTCAATTATGTTTTTTAATCTTTAAATTTAAAATTATCAATTATAATTTCACATTTTTCATTGGTTGTTTGTTGAAGCATAACTTTTTTTTTTTCACAATTGAAAGTCATCATTTTATCTTTTTCATTTGTTGGTTCAAGCGTGGTTTTACTCTTGAAATAAGCAGAAAAAAATGTCAATAAATTGCTTTGATTGATATTCTTTTTCTGCTCGGGTTTTAATTTAAACACAGGTCCAGGATTTAACAAAATTTTAAAACTACAAAATTAAAATCAGTATTTTTCACTTAAGAATTACCAGTTTTACCGTAGGCCAGAGGTTAGCATAATTTTATCACAACCCTTTTCACCTTAATAAAAAATGTTGAAATCCTGCAGATACTGAAAATAAAATTACAATTAAAATAAAGGCAATTAATTAAAATTGAAATCAAATCGATTGAAAATTAAATTATTTTTAAATTTACATTATTTGTGTGCAGTGACAAATTTAATGATTGTATTTTTATTTATACGTTGGATCCTTTTTATGGTTATGATTTTTTGAATAATTTTCTAGCTTTAGTTTGTTTTAATGTTTTTATGGTTTCCATTACTTTGTCAAACATTATATCGTGATTTGCTTCATTCCAATACCGATAAACCAGTCCCAACTCTTTATAAACTTATTTAAACTTTAGCACATGTATAGTCTTGGATTGAGTCCTTGTATGCCATATGAAACTAGAACAATTACACCTTGGGTTCCCAAATCTGCATTGTTGCATTCATACATCACTAGACTCAGTGGATTTTATTGTGGAATCCCAAATTTTTATTGGCAGAACCCTAGCATTCTGTGGAACACGAGTTGAAAATTCTGCCCTAGACTGAAAAAAACTTATGGCAAAAATTCATTTTGGAGTTTTTCAGTATTGTGTATAATAATCAGAAAGTTCTACTTTTTAATTTTAAAATAAGCTATGTATGTACACTAAATTTATTCATAATTTTTTTTTCATTTAATACCCTTTATTTTAGACAATTATTTTTGCTGAAACCAAAAAACGAGTAGATGATTTAACAAGAAGAATGAGAAAAGATGGGTAAGTTTTACATCATTTTTAATAAATTCAATATTTTAGTTCATTAAAAATGTATAATTGAATATTATATTTAATAGATGGCCTGCAATGTGTATTCATGGAAATAAATCTCAACCAGAAAGAGATTGGGTTCTTACTGGTATGTACTTGTAAATTTTATTAATTCTGTATACATATATAGGTTTACCATGGCTAAACAGTAATTTTAAATTCTAATTAAGGTTACTTAATTTGAAATATTTTTTCAGTTAAGCAAAACAGCAAATCAATCAAGATGATAAAAAAAATTTTAAATTTAGTTTTTAAATTATAAATTTTGTAATTCAATTAAATTTATACTGTGTAGTAACTAAAGTATATAACCAAAATTATATTGAAAAGTTGAAAGATGCTTTTATTTTTCACACTATTTTTGGTTCCAAGGAAGTGGAATTTGGGATACTTGTGATTTTTATTTTCAAATAGAGTGCAAAATAATTAACCTATTTTTGATTTTATTTTTAAAATTTAAGCATTATAATGTACAATAATTTTAAATTAAGCACACGTATTAGTTTTTTTCAGTTAGCTGTAATTAAGAAAAATGTCGGTTTTATCTAGTATATTAGTAAAAGATAATGCTTACTGAATTTTTTAAAATTTTATCTTAGGTTATTTACTATTAAGAAATGCTTTAATAAATATGATTAACCTATGAAAATAGTTTATTAATTTATAATATACTTTAACTTTTAGAATTTCGATCTGGACGTTCACCTATACTTATAGCTACAGATGTAGCAGCTAGGGGATTAGGTAAATATTTATTTGGAAGTGTTTGGTTTTGAGCAATTTATTTTAAATTATAAAAGTTTTCAGTTTAAAGATTATAATTTTAAAATAATATTTTGAAATAAAAATTTTATTTTTGTTTTTGCTATTTATATTTAAGAAAAAAATTAAATTTTAACTTGTAATATTTCTTTTTTTCTCTTCCAGAGGCACTAATGATTGACATAACAATAATTGTGCCTCTGTTGCTGGGATAATGTTAATATTATAGTGGGTGGATTTAAGGTTTGGTCAGATATGGTTTTTTTTTTGTACTTTATGTTGTTTATTACCTGTGGTTAGCATTTTAACTCCTTGACTACAAAGTTTATAAATTTGATCCATATGATTATTATTTAAATAATGATCTTAATCTTTAAAAACTAGCATTGCATTACAGAATCATATATTTTTGCTTATTAAAAAATATGAATTAAGTAAATGTAAGCTGATTGTTTTGGGAACAAAGAATCAGTATCTATTAATTATAAGGGTGCAGATAGACTGGTGGGTTACTTGCAACAAATCTTGCACAAGTGACTTAAACTACTAGCAATAATCTGTGAGAAGCATTGCCTGAGTTCTCTCAAAACTGTTTATGCTCTCTTCAACTTAGATTTGTGGTAGTGCTATTTGTCCAATATTGAGTCCTTTTTTTACTATTGCCTAACATGGTGTCAGTAATGCATATGAATATTTCAGTAGCATTGTTAGTGTTAAGTAATCAGGTTTTGATTGTGTATATTTGTATATCGTTACAATTTTAAAAAGAAAAAGTGGATATGTTGTGTAAGGAATGAGTGTTAAAAGGGAAAATTATGGGATATATATGTAACAATTTGCATAATGAGCTAAAAATTGAAGATTTACAACAGTTTAAAACTTTATTTGGGTGTCCATGGTATAACATGTCAACAGAAAAATACAGCCAAGTAGATACAAAACTTCATTTGTCTCAGCTACTATTCATTTTCACTTTGTGTAAACTAGCTTCTCAGGTTGTGTAATTTCTGTGAAATTTTGTTATTGGTATTTGTTACAATTAATTTTAATGTGTTTTGTTTTTTATTTAGATTTCTATAACTTATAGTAGCTTGTAGAACACACATTCCACAATAATAATTTTCTCCATATAGAGATAGTAAAATTTTTGTTTCAGCATTGCTTCGTATCTTGTCTTCTGACATGTTGAACACTCACTGGTTAACTTGCCAAATATTAAAAAGAAACTGGAAGTACGCATGACTGTAATTAGGTCTGTTCATAAAGCAAGTGCATGTTTTGCGTGTGGAGTTTTGAAAGTTCCAGGAAGTCACTTTACAAACTGTTTACACTAGTAACAGTTGGACAGTAACTGGTATAAATTTTCTCACTAGTCTAAATGCACCCTAAGTTTCAGAAAATCTCATTTTTGTTAACTTTAACCAATATTGAAAGCATTAAACATGTACAAATTTTATATTATACAAAATGTTATTTTTATATCCAATATACAATCAAATAGATGTATAGAATATTTTCAGGACCCAAAATTTCTCTCAAGCATACAAAAAATTTTCCAAAGTACACAAAATGATAATTTAAATGGTATTATTTTTCATTTTAATAATTTTGATTGTGTAACAACACAATTTGATTTTTTTCAATTTATTAATATTTTATAAAGTTCAGGAAATTTATTAAGAGAAATTTAATAAATACATACATGAATTATATGTATAATAAATAATAATAAATAAATAAATACATGAATTATATAGAATTTATGAATAATAACAAATAATTATTTTTTTTCAAAGCCATATAGATTTATGGTTGTGGATTAATAACAGAATTTTAATAAAACATTTTATTTTTAATTTTAATAATTTGGCAATTATAAAAAAAATATAACTGTTAATTAGAAAAAATAACTAATTTAAACATCAGAGAATCAAAACATATGTGCATATGAATTCAAATTATTTAAAGAAAATTATTGTAATTTTGTGTATCTAATTTAATAATCAAATTTTTAACAATCACAAGAAATATGTATACTGAAACTCTTTCTAAACATATTAACAAACTGCATGGAAAAATCATGATATTGTGATAAGACTACGTTGTATATCACTTATTGCATTTAATCAGAAAAGTCTAAGAATATTGGTTGGACTGCAACACAAAACTAATGCAATCAACTGGAACACAAAAATATTTCTATAAATAAATTTTTTATTCCCATAAATATCTTAATTATATAAATCATCAATTGTCAGTTTAAATTATCTCATTACTTAAAAAATTTATTAGATACATTACATGGTCCCATTTGATATTAAAAAAACTTTAATCATTACAGAACTACATTGTAAGATTGTAATTACAAAATTTGGCTTATGCATTCTTGTACATGGTTCAAGGCTTTTTAAATTTCTTACTGTTATAAAATATTTTCAGTGTATTCAATACAATAAAAAGTCTAATAATTATAACAGTTTACAGATAATTTGACTAATAACCAATTAAAATTTAAAAGTTTTATTTGTCATCTTAATATAGGAGTAACACTAACAGTTATTTAAGACATTTCATTGACTATTTGAATTATATTTAAATAAATTATTTTAAAAAAACTAAAGATTTATTTGATTAGAAAACTTGATTTTTTTAATATTCATATAAGCATTAATAATTAAACTCTTATTCTAATTTGTTCAGGAATTAATACAAACCTACATTGTGCATGTGTAAAATGAGATTTATGTAATTCAGATTTTCCATATGATGAATGTAATATTCTCCATTTACATTACATGCTGATTAAATTAAAAACAGCAGTCAAGGAGTTAATTAAATATTAATAACAACAGATTTTAACAAATATAGTACCATCCTGAACTTTAACTGGTGAGAAGAATGAAAAAATGAGCAGCAGTTTATAGGGAGGGTATGTAGACTATAGAAAGAGCTTGCCAGCCAAAAGGCTCGTGCACACTGAGGCCCTGCTGGAATCAGGTCCTGTAAGCATCTTGCCTAATGGCCCAACGCAAGCTTCAGTGAGAACTTGGGGCTAGCAGTCTCATCTGTGACTGGAGTTGTCCCATATCAATACTGCCAGATTTAGGAGGATGGTAAACCACAGGTAACATGGTTGTTATTTTATTACTTTTCATTTTTATTTAATTTATGAAATAATAATAAACAATTATTATTATTGATATTTAAATTAACTGTCAAGTTTTAATTATATACTGATATTTTATTTTAATTATAGTGATTAATCATTCTCATTAGTTTAACACATTATTTTAACTTAGTATTAAATTAATAGAATTTAGTTTTAAACCCAGCTGTATACATAATTTTTTAAAGAAATAATGTTTCAAATTTTTATAGATAGCTTTCATAGAAGTGGTATTCAACCTATTTACTTATTAAAATATTTAGATTATGGTACAGATATTAACAACTTTTTTAATAAAAGTACTAAATTTAAATATTACTAGTTCTTTATATCAAAAGGATGAATATCACATTCTAATTGAATCAGATTATCTAGAACTTTTAGTAATTGTATTTTTATCTCTTAATATTAAAGATATAGACGACATCAAATTTGTCATCAATTTTGATTTTCCAACTTGTTCTGAGGACTATGTTCATCGTATTGGTCGTACTGGCCGCAGCAATAAATCTGGTACGGCCTACACATTTTTCACTGACTCAAACATCAAACAGGCAAGTGAGCTGATTTCTGTGTTGCGTGAGGCCAATCAAGTTGTTAATCCAAAATTACAAGAAATGATAGAAATGACCAGAGGTTTTGGAGGCAGAGGTGTGTTTTTTGTCTTTTGTTTTTTTAATTCTGGAATATATATTCAAATTGCATTTCATTGAAAACTTCTGCAGGAAGAAGAAATGGCTGGAAACAAGGAAATATGAGATTTAAGAACAGTTTCAGTAACACCAGTACTAACAATAGAATGAAGAGTGTTTCATCTTCTCGGGACCAACCCAGGAACGGCCATATCAGATTTGATGAAAATGATTCTTGGGCTGAAGGAGTAAGTTACTTTCAGGGATTTCAGAGTCGCCCACTTTCTCAACAAAATCAATCTAGCAGTTTAAGTAGTCTCGTAAATAGACAGAATAATGGGCAAAATGGATTTGGACAGTATGGATCCAGATTAAATAGCTGGTTTCAATGTCACCAAAGAGCCTAAAGTTGGTAATATAATAGTATATATGAATGTAAAAATATATATATACTATTTATTTACTATTCATTATATGTTGTACATCTTTCTTTTGACTCATTTAATTTATGAAACTGTCATCTTAAACATTCCACACATTGTCTAAAAATTTTCTTTGATTTTTAACAGGGAACTTTGTGTTAAGTTTTTTATGTAGAAGAAATGGCTTTTATGTTTGACTAGAACTTTTAAGTCAAAAGATGTTGCAACTATCTTATATTTCCATTGTATAAATAAAAGTTTGTTATTTTATTTTAAATTCCATATTGAAAATTATATATGCGTAAATTCAATAGATGAATAAAATTTGTGAAAAATGGAATATAAATGAAGTAATAAAGTCTACTTGTATTTATTTCTAATCCTGGAATTTATTTAAATTATTTACATACTTCATGTCATAAAAAGCTAATAATTAAAATTGCAAGTTTATTCTCACATGTTTATAGAAAGTGTAATATAATCATAATAATTAAAAATTTATCCCAAAAATTCCAGTAAATTCATTGGATAAATACACAGTATCATTAGAAACTGCAGAAAAGATGAAATGTGATATTAAATCTAGAAATTCTTGCTTATTTTAAAATTCAAAACTTGATCAAAGTTTCCTATTTTCATTGTTTAAAAAGTCTTCAAACAAAATATAAGTTGGCCATAATAAAAATATCTTGTACTTTTTATTTATAAATTATTTTTCTGTAAACTCAAATTTCACATTTTGGCTCAAATATGATTTCTATTGAAAAAAATTTTTTCAGTAAGATGACTTGTAATTTTTATATGGGAAAATAGAAATATTTTATGCTATCTTTCTTTGTTTTTATAAAGGCATACTGTATTTTAATATTGTCAGATTATTGTTAAAAAATATTGTTTGAAATTAACAAGTGCTTATATTTAAAAAAAATTATTTTAACTTTTATGTATCCATTAAGTTGAAGGTTTTTTATGTATTTTGATTAAATATGATAAATCATACTGGTTGTTGAAAAACCATCAGATTAATTTGGCATACTAGCTAATTCTTAGGAAATGAATTATTTACTCTTCAAGATACACTGAATGACAATCTCTTTCATTGATGATACTTCTGATAGAGATATTGTAAACCTGCACTTCTTTATACTGATTTAAAATAAAGATAGTTTGTCCTCATATGAAATGTCATTATTCAAATGTAAGTAATCAGTAACATCAGTTTTTTCAACCAGGATGCTGCAATGGCACTTCAGTGGTGTCATGAAATGTGATAAACAGCACCAAAATCCTTTTTGCATATATTATTAAGTTGTTATATATTCATATGTAATTAAAAGTATAAATTATTTAATACCTTTGTAATGCTATTCCTATTTACACTTGTATGTGTAATGAAAAATCTTTTGAGTAACTAAAAGGGAACCTTTAAAAAAGAGATTTTCTAAGATAATTTTACTCTGTAAATCTCAATAGTTTTATTGTTCTGACTGCTTGCTTTTTTTGTATTTATTGTAATTAACATATTTAAGGATATTCTGTTTTTTCCCCATATATTCCCAAATTGTTAATGAAAAATGAAAGCCATAACATATCCAAGAGAATTATTTCATTCATTGATGAATGACATTTTTTTGCAGGAAATTTTTATATTATACCACAATTTTATTTTTTTTTACACTAAATTCTCTCATTAACAATTAACTTGTTAATGAGAGAATTTTTGTATCAAATATATTGTAGATTATTTTTTCACAATATTTTATCCAATATCCTCCAAATGATGATTTTTGACTATTTAAATTTATCCTTATTTTTTCCAACTTTTTAAGCTTTGAAACACAGGAAGTGTACTGATAGATCCCTCTCCATCTTCATATATTTACACAGCATATTGCAGTTATTGTTACTAAATGTTTTTGAGTATTCAAGAAAATCTAACAAATTATTTTTCATATATCTATATTTTTCTTATTATCTATCTTTTAATTTCCAAAGAAATCAAAATACATGACAATTTTTATTTTTAATATATCGAATACTTAAAAAGATTTCTTTTTAAATATTCAATTTATTCTTTTAAAGTTTTATTCTTGTTTTCAGTTTTTATCAATACTGATCTAATTTCATATTTTCTGAATATATTTATGTAATTATATTTTATAAATGAAAAAAACTAACAAACATTTCTACATATAAAATATAAATAAAATTTGCCTCTCATATTAATATTTGAATTTTTCAGGTGAATTAAGTGCAACAAAAAATGACACGGTTGAAAATTTAAGCGGTGAAGTAGTAGTAATACAGCAATAAAGTATTGTGATTTATTGGATTCTGGTTTTTAAATGAACAGCAACATGGAACAATTATTAACAGGTTAAAACATGGAAAAATATAATCTCTAACAATTTTTGACTAAAGTGCAGTTGTCATTTTAAAGATTACCTCTTTTTTATGAACAGCTTTCTTATAAATTTTAGTTTTTATTTTATATATAAAAATTTAATTATGGAAATAAATGCTCCATTATTAGCGAAAAATAAGGGAGACATCTGTTTTTAAGTTACATCCTAAGTTTGTTGTTTAATAAATTTGGAATACATTACTCATGTTTTGTCAAATAAACTATAGTTTGAAGTTTACTATATATACAGCATTAAAAGTATAATGGAGCTAAATTACAACTGCTATCAAATTACAAATTAATGGTTTCTAAATTTTAGCCTTAGGTAGTGGTGATTCTATCTCCAAAGAAGAAAGTTAATATGAGAAGTGCAGTCAAGGAAATAAAGTATGTAAATTTATACCGGATTTCATTACGAATAACAAAGATACTGGGTGTATCAAAACGTTTTATGGCGTCTCAATATTTTCCCATATTTTTCGAATGTTACATAATGGATAAAATCAGATTTTAACCATCTATTCATTTCCAAGATTTTGAGAAGTTGACATTATTTTTAGAACAGATGTTTGAAGATAAAAAAATGCTTTAGCCGTTATAAACAAAGTATTGATTTGCAACTTATTTTTAATAACTTTGTTCCTACAAAAATATTTTTTTAATAACTGGAGTGTGTGTGTGAGAGCTATGTTTCGTGGCGTTCTGTAAGATCACATTCTATTTTCTGGATCCCGCCGATCTACTCAGTTCAGAAAAATAACAGTTACAAATAAGTTGATTAGTTTCACAAAAATGAAGTGAAAATACGTATTGATTGACTACAGTCGGTATCGTACCGCAAATAGTGGTTCATTTCAAAAATTCGCCCCATAAAGGGAAATAATCAAACGTAAAAAACCTCGTCCTTCGATATTTTTCATTTAAACTACACAAAATATAAATGTTCAACTATTCTTGATTTACTGTTATTTTTTTGTTTAATTAAAAAAAACTTAGAGACAACCACATCATTTACACAACTGGATGATTCAGCAAACTACTAAATCCGGGAATTGAGTAGAGCCAAAACATTTTGTGATAACCGTAAAATTTTGTGATAGGTCAAAAATGGAACTTAAAATTCCGTAAGAAAAGGTCTAGAAACTGGTCTTGAATTTGTATGGACTGTTGCCCTGGAATAGAATTTCCTTAACCGGAAAATTTTTATAGTATTTGGGTTTTCGGCTGTTAGGCATACATAAGGAAAAGTGTTGGAATCGCGTCAAATTTGACCCTCCGAGTTTTTTTGGAAATTCCACGACCCCCAAACCCAAAAATGGCAAAAAATTTCACGTGTGCAGGGGCGGATCTAGGTTTTTCGGGGTCTAGGGCTTACTGAAGTCCAGTTTTGTTAATTCAAATAATGATCATTTATACTATTATTATTATTATTAACTATACGAAAAGTGCTCATTGTTAATGAAAAAGTATTAGTTTATGACAACTCAATTTTTGGGGCCCAGGGCTTAAGCCCTATTAGTCCCTATGTAGATCCGCCCCTGCGTGTGTATTTTGACGTTTATTTCGCTTAACTCAGGATGGGGTTAAAGATTAACGAAATTTGGCATGGTGGCTTGTTAAGAGGAACATTCATACTATTAAATTTTGGTGGTTATAAGTCGAGGGGATGGGGAGTAAAGGAGGAGGTGTGTATCTCCAGTAAGGTTAGACTTGTTAACGATAGAATCATTAACAATCGTCAGAGTATGGATGAGTTTTATAAAGTAAGCTTTTTGCCATTTATAATAATTAAAAATATGAGATTTTAATTAGACATAGATATAAATACAATATAACTAAGATTTCAATTTTAAGTTTTTATAACTATAATAACCGGGAAAGTTATGCAATTCCTTGCTGGAGACCACGTGTAATGTAGTGTACATCATTTCCTGTTATCACTGGATGTGTCCGTGCATTACACTTAAGCAACAAAAAAAAACCCAATTTTAAAATCATATTCCAGGTGCTTTGGCTAGTTTAAAATAGGTTTCTTTTTGAAATATGGGACTAAAGTTGATATTTCAGCTAATAAATTTTAAATAAAGTGCTCGAATGCAGTTACGTTTGTTAAAAAGCCTTAGATTAAAATATCTTGTTTTATAATGGAATTTATGTACAAAAGCATTGACTTGGAATGACTGAGAAAAACCTACATTGAATTTTTTTTGAAATTGTCAGTCAGTTGGAACAAATGGCGTTTGGAATGTCGAGCATGATTCCAATGACGTTCCAAACGCCATTGCCAAACTTCTAGTCTTACAAGATGGCGGCGCTCAACGTTAACGTTTTAGAAATTAAAACTTCGGCGGCAACCTATCTAATAATAGCTGAGTTTTATGATAGAAAGAAGTTGCCATATGTTGAAGATATAATTGCTATGTAATAAGACGCGAGAAATTTTGTATGAAATGTGAAAGTCTATTACATCGAAGCGAGATACTTCATTTTTCCGGATGTATTAATTAAATACTCGGTTGCGTGTAATCAATTATCAGATTCGTCACTAGTGTCATCGACGGAGTACATTTGATTTTAACTGGAAAGATTCACAATTTTGTTGATTTTCTTTTTCTTTGTTCATGTTTTTTCTTTCTTCTTTTTCTTTGTCCATTTTCTTTGTTCGGTGTGTTTACTTTGTCCTTTAGACGTCTTAATTGGTAACTTATAATAGGTTAGATTAAAATTAGAGAGGTCAAGTTAATACATAACTAAAAATGATTTCCTGTTATGTGGTCACTCGTTTTCCGTTCGTGTATGACGTCGATTCGCGTTTTTCATGAACTATAGAGGGCGCTGCATTTTTACAAAATGGCTACTTTAACTGGGTCGCTTGTAACTAATAAAGTAAAATTAATCATATATTACTGTCTGATATAATGATATATGCTTCCTGTAGCTGGTTATCGAGAAATTTTATAGAA